TAACAGGATAAATGGCATCTTGATGAAATTTCTGGAGTGAATGAAGGTTGCACATGATAGCAATATATTAGTTGTTTCGTACAGTTAACAGAATGCTGAAATTAGAGTTAGAAGCCTTAATTCATGCTTCTGTCAAAAACCACTTCTTTGGTGCATGACCTTAGGTAAGTCACATCTTTTCATATCTTTCTCAACCTCTTTTTTTAAAGATATGAATAGTAGTGTCTGCCCTACCAACATTTGTTCATACAACAAACACCAATTGCATTTCACTAGGCACTTGGCACTCATGGATGCTAAGGGCAGATAAATGGACTGCTGGGCTTGTCCTGGAGTCCCAAGTCTGACAGGGAGATCATTGTGTTAAAGAATTAACTGCACTAGAATGGATGATAAGTACATAAGAGTAGTGTCACTGGGAAGAGAATGGAGGTATCAAGTGAGCGAGTCCTTGAGTGTGACATGTCTAGGTCAGTCAGGGCAGCAGGTCACAGAGCAGTGGTTCCCAAGCGAGGCCACCCAGACACCTATGGGTCTGCAGAAGTACAAATGGGTATCATGAGATTGTCAGTATCAATGGAAGTCGGATTCAGTGAGGAGAGGGCTAATTAAAAAGGCAAGTTTCTTGGCTTTAAACTAGAATATCAAGCTTAAAAATGCTAATCTTAGCTACTTCTTTCCAGGAATCCTGAATATTTTGATTGGTACTTAATATTTCCTCTAGAGATGGGGGAATTCATTAGAAGTGATGTTTATTGAGCAAATGAAATCATTTAAGATGTGAGACAAATAATAAACAAACGGGAACCTTGTTTAAAAGGTTAGGAACTTGGTGGGAGGATTATGCTAGATTAGAGGAAAGGCTTTATGGGCCATACCATGCAGTGTAGCCATTATTCATGGGGCTCAGGGAGCTTTAGGAGTGCATCCGATCTCTATTACAGAAACAAAACTGTGGGAAAGAGATCTGAGGCAGGAAAATATGTCAGGCCGTTACAGGTGTTCTTTTGAGAAATGAGAATCTGTTCTAGGACAAGGGCACTGGTAATGTGGAAGAAGGAAAAACTTAAAAGAAGTTTCATAAATAGGATCAAGAGTGCATGACTGTTGTCTAGAGCACGAAGGAGAAGGTAGAGTTGATGTCTGATTTAAGTGTTACAAGATGTGCGAATGGGGAAGGATGAGGGAGAGAGATCTTTTTGAATGCTCTATGGCGATACAAGTATGCCCTGCTGAAAATGCACAACTAGAGTTGGGGGAGAGACAGAGATGTGTGAGTACTGCACGGGTTCGGGAGCTGTCACATTGCAGGTGAAGCTGTGGGCACTGGCTAAAGCTGGAACGCCATGGCCGGCCTGCTGGAGACTGAGAGCAGGAAGGATGAGACGGCGGTGGGGATGGGCCCTAGAAACCAGTGGAAGGAAAATGTCTAGAGTGAGGGGCCAGCTGCTGTCTCAGCTGCAGCTGCTGTGAGGGCAAACTGGATGAGGAGAGTGGGCCTGGCAACTAGGAGAAGGTCACTGAAAACCTTTCTCAAGAGTGGCTTCAAAGAATCGGGTTATAGGTAAGATGATGCTGTTGAATCATCCAAACAATGCCTTTTAGAGGAAAGCCAGGTCTAAGTGAGAGAGAGAATTTCAAGAGTTTACTGACAGGACAGTTAATCAATAGGCCTTCTTCATCTAGGTTATAGGTTATTTTTGTTTTTGCTCTTTGTAAATAGCCCTTTGAGGTAAGTCAGTGTTTGCAAACTGGTCTTATCACCAGACTCCTCTGGAGTACTTGCTGAGTTATGTTCTCCCGGGCCCCCTCTGGGGATGGGACCTGTGAACCTTTACTGATTTCCAACAAAGACTCCAGATTATTTTTATGATCAGGCGAATGTGAATTATGCTGAATGAGGTGAAATAGCTGATTTTACCTATAAAAAAAAGCAAGTGAAACAAAGCCATGAGCAGAAGAAAGAGCAGAGCCAGGGAGCTGTGCACACAGGTCTGACTTCACAGCTCCGCTTCTTCCCACTGGAAATGTGGCCTCTGCAGTTCCTTCACTTCTTGAGTAAGCTTAGGGTTTTGCATCTTGTTAATAGTAGAAACCTCAAAATAGAGCCAGTAGATCATAGGGAGATAAATGGCCTTATATTGTTCCTATTTGGGGATGGGGGAGTCTTTATTTTTCATCTCTAATTGATGGTTGTTCTAAATGCCATTTCTTATTGCTGCCCTCTGATTATCTGTGCATTCAGCCTGAGGACTTTGTTTTACAGCAATATTTGTCTACTTGATGCTTTTCTTAAATCGATAGTATGTTGATGATCATGTCTTTTGGAATGTGGTTAGATATGATAGTCTAAAACACAGCATATCATTTTTGCCCTGGTGGTGCTGCTCAGTTTCAGCCACAGAAGAAGGGGTACCTCCCTGCCAGAGACATGCTTGGGAAGGAGCCCACAGTGAATATTACTGCCAGCTTGTAGCAGATGAGAAGACTTAGGAATTTTTTTTTTTGATACCTGACAGGGTTTACTAGGGGATTTACTGTTATCCTCATTAAGAGGGTTAAAATACTTAAGGGTACCCCACTCAAATCTAAGAACCAGATTACAGTAAGTATTAAAAACAGTTAAGAGAGTGGTGTACTTCCTTGTTCCTGCCTACAGGTTTGTATTTCTTCTTAATTATTGCTCAAATTTATAGTCTGTAAATATAGTAGTTCATAATCTAAAACTACCTTTCTTAAAAAAGAAAGTGGAATCTCTGACCCAGTTAAATGCAGAAAGAGCAGATACATGATACATTTCCAGTGGAAACTAATAGCTAAGGTATTAAACTACAAATGACTTATTAAATCTGTTCTTATATACCCATAAGACACACATATACTTATTTTGTGCATATGTTCAGGGGAGAGGCCTGGAACCAGAGGTAAAATTTGGGAGTTGTAAGCATATAGATAGTATTATGGTATTTTAAAATATGAGACTAGATGAGACCATCAAAAGAAGAACATGTAGGTAGAGAATATTTAAGAGATACAAGAGATTAAGAGGAACCAGAAAGTGAAGCTGAGAAAGAGTAGCAAAAAACTAAGAGGAAAAAAATCCAGAGAGGATGGTGTAGGAGAGTATTCTGGAGGCCACATGAAGAGTATTTCTTGGTGGGAGGAAAACTGGTCGGATGCCTGCGATGGTAAAACAAACCAGAGCCGGATCACAGAATTTTTCAACGTGAAGGTCATTGGTGACTCCAGAAAGAACCTCTTCAGTGGAGTGGTGGAGGCAGTAACTTGGTTAGAAATAGTTCAAGACAGAAGAGGGTAAGAGGATTTGGAGACAGAGTATATAACAACCCTTTTGAGGAGTTTAGTTCCAAAGGGGACCAGGAATGAAGTAAAAGCTCGAGTGAGGAGAGTGGTTCATTCTGTTTTTTTCTGGTTTGGTTATTAAGTTGAGGGAAATACGAGAGCATTTGAATGCTAAGGGGAATGCTCTGGTAGAGAGGGAATATTGACACAAGAGCAGGAGAGATTGACAAAAGCTGGACTCACACATGGAAATCTGTAGTTTGCACAGAAGTGTGGTGATGGATGGGAGCATGGAGATTCACCTGCAGTAATAGGAGGGAAGATAGAATTCATGGGAAGATGTTGATAAGTGGAAAGAGGTAATGGGATAAAATTTGTTTTCCTCAGTAAATGCCTATTTAGGCAGCACAGTGCTTGAGATGCATGAGTTTGAAAGAGCTAGTGTCAGAAGTCTGAGGAGAAAGGAGCTATGAGGTAGTTAACCTAGGACGGTGGGAGAGTAGATGGACTAGGAAATGTGTTATGCTTGTCAAGCATCATTAATAGTTCTTTTGAGGTTGGTATTTATGATGAAGTGAAACCAGTCAGCCTGGTTATTTTTTTTTCAGCCACATTGCATCTGCAAAGATCAAAAATGAGAAAAGGCAGAAAATTGGATTTAACCAGGGCTGGAGTTCTGCCAGTACTGTGACATGTGAGAGGGGATGGGAAGTTATGTTACAAGCAAAGAGGTGCTTCAAGTGAAGGATTGTGGAGTTTAAACTGGATAAGAAAGAAGTGAGGGCATCATGGCAGTGAAGGTATAGTAAAAGGGATAGGATCAATAGCCTGCACATTCTGGTGAGGTCAGAAATTTATTGGAGTCAAGGAAGTGGAGAAAATGAGCTGAAAAGAGGGCTTGGTGGCTGGGCGTGGGATGCTTGAAGTTTCCAAGGAGCAGGAAAGTCATGGTGATTGGTAATGACAAGGCTAGGGTCCCGCCATGGGTGTGGTTGACGCAAGGCAGGCAGATAATGAAAACCCAAAGAGTATAATAATAGTGATAGTAAACCAAGAGCTAAAACCCTCAAGAAATGGGACTCGTGACCCAAGGACTGGTACACAGTTACTAGGAGGGGTAATGCATGGAACAATCTGATCCTGAGGCTTTTTAGAGAGAGGGGAGAAAGAAAATGGCAAGGAGGTGCATGGAGTACACCCACACCATCCCCGGGCCCAGTAGTCAACAGTTATAGAGAAAAAAGTTCTCTTTGCTTATAAAGCAGTGTCCTCAGGAAAAGCCGGGTTTCTATTAGAGCAGGAAGATAAGTGAATTCAGGGAAAATGGTGTTTCAGAGGGCAGGCTTTCAGGAGTTGGGGAAAGGCAGAAGAGGACAGAGCAGGGAAGGCTGAGTTCCGTATGGGGGTGAGAACGGGGAGAGGGGAGTCTGGGGCTTTTCATAAGTGATATAAACAGAGGTATCTTTCAATTGGTAGGCATAAGACAGAGAGTGTTGGCAAGACTGTAAGTGTTGTGAAAAGGGGGGTTTTTCTCTCTAAAAATCCTCAGGATCAGATTGTTCCATGCATTACCGCCCCTTCTGTACTACAGATAGAGGCCTGGGGAGGGCCTGGTTTTCTGTCAGGTATATGGAGTAAGTGCCCAATATTTTTTAGATACCTGTTCAACTTTGTCTTATTAATTTCTAAATTCACAGGTCATTGGTGATCATCAGCACTTTAGATGGGCGAATTGCTGCCTTGGATCCTGAGAATCATGGGAAAAAGCAGTGGGATTTGGACGTGGGATCCGGTTCCTTGGTTTCATCCAGCCTCAGCAAACCAGAGGTAAGACTTTTCTGTTAAATGTTGACAGAAAAACTCAGTTATAATGAGCAGCTGCTGATATTAATAGTATGTATTTGCTGAAACGCTGCAGCTCAGGGCCCAATGGCCTAGGCATGAGGGTTCTCTGCCTCCTACAAGCAGTGTCTCCCTGGGGCAAGTACTTAACTTTGCTGTTCCTCAGTTCCCCTCCTGTAAAATGATGTGAGTTAGGATTGTCTTGGGCATTAAGTGAGTTAAACATATAAATGAGTAACTGGGACACTACCTGCTGTATCAGTACAGCTCAGTATCTGAGCTGTAACATGAGCATCATTTCTTCCCCTTGTTATTATTGTCCTCACAGGGTCCCTAAGAATGGTAAAACACATGTCAGTAATTTAACTGTGTTTTGATAGTTAGAAATACATGCTGCAAAATCCCCTAAGTTATTTCCAACATTTTCCCTCAAGTGTCCATCTTAATTATAAGCATTAATCATCTGAAATGTTCTTGAGATACAATTTTAGACAAATTTGATTATTTGCAAAAAAAGAGACCTTGCTTTCAAAGAGACTTAGACCCTCAGTCCTTCAGTGTTGTCATCTGAAGTGAGGACATGCCTGCCTTGATGAGTGGTGGGGGGTGGGGGCCATTAAATGAGAGAAGTTTGTTTTCCTCACCTGTAGTCTGGACTCTGCTAGATTAAGTCTCTCTTTCTTTCCTTTTCTGGAGCCTTGTTCTATTGTTAAGTCATTTCAAGTAAGTCCCTCTTCTGAGCTGTGAGTGCTGACGTGGAGGCAACTCCCCTTTGCTTTCCAGAATACCCTCAGCCTTCTGCCTTGTCGGGTTGTTCCTTTGGGATGCGCCCTAGGGGATTCATTTTTCCTTTCATCATCAGTCATTCCCTTTCAAAAAGCTTCCTAGTTGGGATCAAGTTTGGAAAAGACAAAACCTAACTGAGAGGCTTGAGAATGATCTGATCACTGGTGATGGAATTTTTGGATGGGAAAACTGCTACCAGTGCCCCATCTGCTCTCCAGTGAACCCAGTCTGGACTCTTGTCTGGCGCACCCAGCCAGGTGCTTAGGGAAATGGCACTGCCCAGCCTCCATGTGGGCTGTGTATGAGAAGCCCTGCTGAGACTTTCTGAGTACCTGCTATTTATCAGATGGTATACTGGAAATACCTATCAAAAATGATGAACTTCTTTGTATTTTGAATTTTTAATACAAATAGCAATTTAATTGTAAATTACATGAACTTGAGTCAGGTACAATATTCAAATGAGCCACTACTCAAGCTAGACATTCATGTATTTATGTCCTGCTGGGTTATACTTGTGTATGCATGTTTTGCTTTATTTTTAAACTAGACATAAAAGATGATCAGCAAAATCAGAAGATGGTAAGCTATTTACATATGAGGTAATATTACAGTGTGTTGTAGTGGTGCAAAGCATGTCTGTGTTTGCAAACTAAAATATACATACACACAAAAGATAAATTGCATGGCATGACAAAGTAAAATGCAGATACTTGTAATAACCTGCGTGCTATTGAGTGTGTTTAAATTATGAGCAGCTAGTCATATGTGAAGGTTTTCCTGCAAATAGCAATTAAATTTATTAACTATTTTTTTAAACTACAGTTCATCTTTCTCATTGTCCCTAGTCCATACGACTTTCTGTGACTTATTAGAGCTCTCTTGTTTCAAGTGTCCTGCTTGCCACCCACCTCCGCCCCCAGATCCTTTGGATAGAATGTTTTGAAGAGTTGAATTGCAAGCACATTCAAAAAGTTTCACTGTATCACCTTTACACAATAAGCTCCTGCACTAAGACCTCTTTGCATTATCTAGATTTTAATTTTCCATTTTATAAAAAAAACCAGAGTGATCTAAAGGTACTGAACCATCTGTGGTAAAATTAGTTTACTAGATTTTACTGCTGCCCGAATTCCTTGGGATCATTTCTTGAGACTGGATTTACTTTGTCGATATGCTAATGACAACATTGTTCCCAATATTATGTTATAGACTGAATTACATATATACGGGATATACTTCACTCACAGTGTAATCCTCACAGTGATCCTCCTGAGGGTTGATATGTTGGTATCATTTTGTAGAAGAGGAAACTGAAGCTCAAAGAAGATTTTTGTTGGAAGTGTCAGACCAACTAGATGATAAAGCTGAGCTTGAACCCACGCTTGCTTGCCTGTCCTCCTTGTGTCTACTCTGGAGCCCTTTCCCTGTCTTCTGTGCATTCCCCTTTACAAACACAGGCTGTTCATCAAGTGCAGTGGGTCTCAAACTTTATGGTCTCAGGACCCTTTACATTCTTAAAAATTATGGAGTGCTCCAAAGAGCTTTTTTTCCTATAGTTTATTGTATCTATACTTAAACCATATTAAAAATAAAAACAATAAATTTTAGAAAGATTTATTATTAAATCATCTTTAAAAGTGAACCTATTGCATGATAGCAGAAATAACACATTTTTATGAAGGATAAGTATTTTCTAATTCAAAAAACTTTTAATGAGAAAAATGGCATTGTTCTACATTTTTTGCATATCTCCTTAATTTCTAGTGTAATAGAAGACCATTGGATTTTCATACCCGCTTCTTCATTCAGTATGTTGCATTATTGTTTTGGCTGAACTATATGCAAAGAAAATCCAGGCACATACATATATGTAGTTAGAAAAAGGAAGAGTATTTTAGTAGCCTTTCCAGATGACTGGGTCATTATTTTTTGATAGTATACCAAAACAAGTGGAAGTTTCTTAAAGTTTAGTTGTACTGTGGAATCTGAAACTGTATCAGTGAACATATTGTACTCTGTTCCATTAACATACATTTGTTTATCTTTTGCTTGTGCATGATTTCCTAACATCATTTGGAAAATACTGATTGAATTGCACAGATCTGCCAAACGTTGACGGATTTCCTTATAGAATATTTTAAAAATCAAACTTGTTCCTCTTACCACTGATCTCATCAGAAGAGTCTTTAAGGGCTAGGAAGCTCTCAAGCTCACATTGGTAGATAGAGATTTTCCAAGATCCTCATTTTCACTAGAAAACTGGAATTTTACACAAATAAGGTTTGTTTTCTCTGAAGTGAGAGGTTCACTTTGTTCATTTTTGAGAAAATGTCTGCCAAATACCCAAGTCTTATAACCATAGCTTTTTTCTCATTTTTTCAAGAAAAACTGGAACTTTGTGAACCAAGCCACTAGTTCAGCTCAAAACTCAGTCCCACAAGTGCTTTTCAAGAGCTGCTTCACTATGTGGCAGGAGGGCTTGATGCTTACTTCTTCACTAGTCATGCAGAGTAGTAAGATGCTCCCAACCTAATGAGATCAATACTTTTTATTGCTTGATAGAACATTCTTGAGTGAGACCTTTTTCTTCTTTTTTTTTTTGCTACAAGTGTGTGACGGTGAAACTAGTTTGGTGGTTGGTTTGTGCTAAGGCTCTAGCAGTTTTAGTCACCGTGCTTTTATACCATCAGTGCAAATATCACCACAGCAAAAAGGCAAATAACACCTTATTATGAAACTGACCCTCTGCTCCTCTGAAAGAGTCTAAAGACTACACTTCAAGAATTGCTAGTCTGGTATATATGTAATAAAAGTATTATAAGAATATTTGTAAGATTATGAACATTAACAAGAAGAACGTATTGTGAGCTTTGGGTCATCTGTTATTCAGCAAGGAATGTGTTGCTCAGCATGTAGAAATTATGCTCAGAAGCTGAGAAAAATACCACAAAAAGAGGATCAAGAAAATGCTATTTGAAATGCCCTGAATAGGATGAATAGAGTAATGATACCTTTCTGAATGCATCGGATACAGTATTTCATGAAGATCCCTAGTAGTGTTGGGAGGAGGGGCAAGTACAGCAGGCAGAAAGCACTGAGTGGTGTGGTGATAACAGCAGAAGCCACCCAAGTGACAATAAATAGACCCATGGCTTCATTTGGGAACTCCTGTATTAGACTATCAGTTTCTCTAAGCTGTCATCAAGATTAGTATGAAGATAAGACAGATTAAGGCCAGAGAAGATATATTCTCTGTGTAGCAATTATTAAAATTACTTATTAATCTAAAGAGAAACAGAAAGATAAAGAATTTGGTAGACTGTATAACAATTTTTAAGTTATTAGTGATAGAGAGATGGTTATGGATCACATGTACTCTCATGGGAATAATAGAGTAGAAGCCTTGCAGGAGCTTGTTAGGCTGTGAGGCATTGTGGAGGAGGGACTCAGATTCAGGAGCTTGAGTTCTAGTTATGATTCTTCCATTAAGTGGCTCTATGACCTAGTTAAATTATTTAATTTAATAGAGCTTTAATTCCTTCTCTGTATAGTGATGGGATTGGACTGAATCTAACTTCAGAAATCAGACATGAAACACCATATAGAGGGATTTTTGAACTTCTCCCCCCACACATTTTTTTAACACACGTAAAATTCTTCTTAAAACACAAATTACTGAAATCATTAGGTGCATAGCTCATTGTCTGCTGGCCTGCTCTGCTGTTGTCCTTAAACTTTTCCAATCCAAAAGGCGTATCAAATAGTATACTGTGTTGCTTTAGTGGTGTTTTAATTACATCAATGAACAAATAAATTCCCAGAGGATAAGAGAGATTCATGGTTCCGTTAATAGCAAGTGTTTTACATTATTTTGAGAATGAATTGTAGCTCAAGAAGATCTAATTTGCTCCTCTTTCCTCTTAACTAGATATTTGCAGACTTCCTCAAAAGAACACTGATATAAACCAAGCTGAAACTGTGTGTGTGCTGTGTATGTGTGTGTGTTAGAATAAACGATGAACCTAAGGTGCCTTCTGTTAGTTTTAACAGATATGCCCTAGGTTTTAAGCCTAATACTTTTTTTGGTAGCTAAGAATTTCGCTTTTAATTTTCAGGACCACCTGAGGTGAAAACTGATTTTCTTTCCTCTAGCAATTTATATGCTGAGCCAGCCTTGAGAAAGCACTAAGGTTTGG